ACTTCCGCTGATGTTAATTTGATCACAATTCCAATCCGTATGTTTCGCATTAAAATCTCCAAAAATAAAAGTTTCTTTTTCCTTGTGTTTATCGAAAAGATCTAACGGAGATGCGCAGTTTGGGGGGACGTAAACAACTCCCACACTTAACTTCTGATTGAGAATTTCTATTTCTATTAAAAGAAAATTTTTATCTATGGCCACAACCTCACTACGTAATTTATGATGAACTAAGATAGCTACACCTCCGAAGGTGTTTGTGCCTTCCTGACTTTGCTAGGTATAGAAAGAGATTATGGGCAGCTTGGATTTGTTTACCTACTCCAGTTAATATGCATAGATGAGGTGTATGAGTAGAAAGAAGAATATCGAGATCGGTAAGATGAGTGCTTAAACCCTCGCAATTCCAAAGAAGTATTACCAGGTTTTCAGAACTATTTTTCGATCTCTCCTTAATCCACGATTCACTCAACCGAGACAAAGAAGTCCTACTATTCCACTCACAAAACAATTGAAAAAGAGTCTCTTTCTCACTGTCATTACCATCAAAGTTACTGATTAAATCCAAACTAATCGTTGGCGATGAATATTTAAATTCACTGTAGACCATTGGTATTAAGTAATAATGAATCTAATGCTAAATTTAATATTTCATTTTGTTTGTTGGTTAGTTGCAGTAGAGAGGATTGATGATTGGAGTAGGATTGTTGTGTTTCCTTCAGATACGATATTTCTGTAGACAAGTTTACGATTAGATCATCAAATTCATCAGTTTTTAATATGTTTTTCAATTTATTAGCAACTGAGAATACGGCTGTAACAATGTTTTGGCACATAGGAAATACCGATTGAGAGATCGCTGCGTTCATTGTCATTAAATTTTCAGATTGTGTTTTATTTTGTTGTTGCAAGATCATCCAAGCTTGATTCATTGAGTTTAAATGATTTTTATATTTCATTTCAATTTTATCTTGTTCTTGTTTGTAATTTTCTTTAATTTTTATCAATTCATCATTCATTGATTTAATTGAATCATTGATATTAGCATTATTTGTTGTTATTGTCGATGAGATAGATGTTGATGGATTGATTTGTAGCCATGGTTCCAATTCAAATTAGAAGAAGGACGAAACTGTGTTACAGGTGCCGCAATTCTCTTCGTGTTTCGCCTGCTCGACGATAATCTGATGGGATAAACAATTGAACATCAGGTGGTAGTCGGCTAGGATTTTTTCTTAGTTCATTAATTAATTTTGCACGAAATTCTTGAATTATTGGACACTTATAATCGGTCGAAATATGATCACCGTCACAATTTTGATTGTACACTCCAAATGTTCTTCTCTATTTTTTCTATCACCGCCACAACGCCGACATATTTCACATCTAGATTCACATGACTTTTTTGTATGTCCAGGAAGATTGCATTTTGAGCAGATGAGAATTTTTGGTGCCGGTAGATATTCATCGACATTATATATTTGACCATAAACATTGATTATCCCACCGTTAACTAATGAAATGAATTCATTTCTGTCACACATTTCTATACGAACGTGTCGGTTTCTGTCATTTGCCGTTCCCATCATTTCTTCAGTATTAAAGATAGACTTATATTTTATTTTCAATTCCTCATTTAGATCTTCTAACGTGACTGAATTTTTCAGCCATTTTATTATTGCTGTAAGTTGAGGCGGAAGATGTTGAGGTGGATGGGCTGTTAGTTTCATGTTCATTAATTCTTGTGGATATCGTTCTTTATTACATAGAAAAACATACAATTCTATTGATTTAATTATCATTTGAAGATATCCACTTCCATCTATCCACCACATGTCAAATAGCAGAGGTTTTGAATAAACAGGATTTAGTTTAGTAAAATCGCTTTTAACATAATTAAGAATTTCACATACAAGTTTTGCGGCATTTTTCTGATTCTTTAGTTTAGGTTCACATTGAATTTTAAATGGTGTATAATGATATTCAGTAGCATAGTCAATAGCATGTTTTGAGATTCGAATTCCATTTTGATTTGTCGTTGTATTTGGAATCTGATATTGTTGATCAGAAGTGTTGTTCAGGTTATTTTCATTACGTTGTTGTTGTTTATTTCTATTATCCTTTACATTTGGATTCGTATATGTTCTCGTTGCTGAATATCGTTCATCTTTATCATTGTTGCTGTCATTGTTATTTCTATTCATTCTCTTATTATTTCTATTATAAGTGTTTATTTGAAATCCATCCATGTCACCTTCTATCTCACCGTCATCATTTGTTGTTATAATTTCACTGCTGTTTGTGAGGTGACGTTTCAGTGATGCTTCATTATTTCGTTGTTCTGCAGTGGCTAGTTGTTTTAATGTTTGTCGCAAATTCTCTCCGTTACACATACGATCTTTTTCATTTTCACTCATGTTGTTGTACCGATTATAATACATTTAATTCTGGTTTTCAATTTCAAAAGTTTTTAAATAATTCAGTGGGATTTAATTAAGAAAATGATAATAGTTGAAAAAACGCGTGTACGTACACGTGAAAGTGTGCGTACGAAAGTACTGTACGAAAAGTACAGTTAATATTATAAGAAGGAAGAAAAAAGATTACGTCTGTACTGAATCGTGTTGAAAAGAAAAAGGTTTTGCAGAGAACCATTCAATAAGGTAAATAACATGAAAAGTCTAACTTTTTAATTTTCACTGACAACTTGTTCGCAAAACAATTGTACGTAGTTCTTTTTAAATGAGTAATCATTTCCCTTTACTCCCTTGAGCATTAACACTGCTAATAATAATCTTGTCCTTACTACTTACGTCGTTTTATCAAGGTTTTTTTTTCAGCGGACGAAACGGTAGTAACATTGCTTGAACAATTGTGTAATGAGTTGTTTTGGGATATTTTCGACTACCTTCAAGTGATGGATATATACGCGTCTTTCTACGGGTTGAATCTTCGAATCAATTTAATAATACATGGCATGCCTTCTCTACACATTGGTTATCGAACATTCCTATCATCAAAATTCTCTAATCACTTAACTACTATAGTCAATCGCGTCGTTTCATTAAATGTTATAGGTGCTGGCCATTCATTGACACATTTTTGTGTACTTCGATCACTTACAATCAGCAACATGCAACACAATGATTTAAAGTTTATAATGTTCGACATATATAAGTTGAATACATTGAAAAGACTGAGTATCTCATTGGATTATTCACGATCACAGGACACTGAAGATATATTTGCTATGATTATATGCAATAGACTTCCAGAAACGTTGAAAACATGTCACATTATTATTGATATTAAACCAGTAGATTTGATAACATTTACGAAGATATCGACCGTTTGTCAACCAATTGAATATTTATATCTGAAATCAAGTTTTCCTACTAATACAGACACTGATGGTTTATTTCGTCTATTGTCATATATACCAAATTTAAAATCTGCGGAAGTTTTTCCGTTTCTAAATGATAAACTGGCTAAAATTAATCTGCGATCGCTACTGATGACAAGTATAAAAAAGTTTCATAGCACTTGTACTGTATTTTCAATAGATGATGTCGATCTTCTGCTCTCGACCATGCCGTTTTTAATAGTATTACGTCTTAAGTGTGTTTCGACTGATGAAAATATGACCGATGCGTGCCAATGGAACAAATAATATCAAGACGATTACCAAGATTAAAAAAAGTTATTTTACATATTAATGTACTAAGTCGTTTTGCATCAAATAGTCATTTTCTTCTACACAGAGAAGAAAAGTTTCGAACCGATTTTTGGTTATCGAAACTGGTTCGTCTCTTTACAAGTGATACGACATCTAATTCGATTATTTGTTTGGACATCAAGGCAACATAATGGAGACGGCGAATTTTTACAGTAGTTAACGTATAAGATGAGTAGTCTTGTAGCTACGTTAAGAAAAACTGAATAATTTTCACGAAAATTCGTAGCAAATATAATTATTTTATTGTTGGAAGCCTCTTGTATTTGTTAAACAGAAAGCTTTTGCTGACGATTGACATACTGATGTAATAAAATGAGTATTCTAATGATAAAAGATATTCGAAAACGCGATACAACCTTTGAAATACGTTTCAGAACCCTGCTGGTTCTTCGAAAAGGATTTCTCGACAACGGATATCTTGGCTAACTTATTTCTCCATAGCACCAACATCTTACATCGTTGTTAACTTTGCTTCGATATTTTTTCGCAGAACTATCGGTCCCTTTTGCTTTTTCAGTTTGTTGCCACTCAACTGCTGATCGTTCAGCACATTTCATACATGCAAGTAAATGATTTTAACATTGGTAAATTTTTAAGTAACAAGTACAATTCACTTGTATAACAGCTCATTATTTTTAATGATACTAGAACGATAATAATAAATACAAGTTTTAAATAAAGAGTCAGTGCAATTCTTTGGCAAATACACCATACTTTATATGAGGATGAATTAGAAGCTAAATTTATTGTTTCAAGACGTTTAGAATAATTAGCAAGTAACTGATTTGTTGATGTTGATGGATGATTAGAATCATCAACAGAAGCATTTGTTCGTGTGAATATTGTTATTTTGGTTGTAATATTCAATGGAATTTGATTGTTGTTCTGATTTAAAACGTCAAATTGTAAATCATTATCGGATGGAGATGTAAGTATACGAATAAAATTCTCTACACTAAAATGTTCTTGATCATGGAAGTAAATTTTCGAAATCCAGTTTGATACCGAATCTTCAAATGATGGTAGTTTCAATACAAGAGATTCGGGAGAAACAAGTTGAAGAAGTTTGCATAGAATTGTACATAATAAACATTGTTGTAAATCAAGTGGATTTTGTTCAATGACTGATTTTGATTTGATCGTTAATTGTGTGTACTGATGTATATTAAGAAATGTTATAGAATTAGATGTTGTGAGTCTGTTTTGCTCAAAGTCTGCAGTATTATTACTACTCTTATTGTCATCTGTGTCATGCAGCTCTTGTATTGTCAATGACTGTTGTACTTTTTGTTGTGGTAGCAATTGTTTTGAATTTTTGATTAATGTTAATAATATTGAATAAATCGTACTTTTGGTATAACCTGAAAAATATTTTTCACCAAAGTGTGTGACAAATTTTTTTTCTTCAAACGTTCTATGTGATTTCTTGTTGAGTGAATGGTAGTTTTTCTAGTTGTATACGATAAAAATCATTAATTCCAACTGAATATTTTTGAAATCGACTCAAAAATGGTGGTGGCATGTCTTTTAAGTCTGATCGTTTTATGTAAACAATACACTGAAATTTTTTATGTACAATACAATCTAGTGTTTGTGCTTCAATAGCTACTTTCGAAAAGATTTTTCGTTCACTTTCCGTAGCCATAATACTAAGGTTTTGATTAAATACATCGTAGAGTGAACCATGAATTCTGCCCGTATTGATCATCATTATCGTTTTTTCGGTTTCCATACACAGTTTAATCGTTGATAACATTTCAACGTTATGCAGTTCATTTTCAATATCGGCTTCAAAATCAGACATACGAAAGCCATTGTGTCTGAATTTAAATCTAATATACCTTCTTCAAATAAAAATCTTGCGACAGATTCATCTTCGCTTTCATCAATAACTAGTTTATAGCGTCCATACAAACGTCGTCTAGTTGATTCCAATTGCATTGAATCATGTAAAACTACAACTGAACTTTGATATTCACTCTCCTTCGGCATTCGAAAATCAATATTACATTCATCACTAATGGATTTGAAAAAAATTGCTACTAGTCTCTCAAACTGACATCTTTCAATACCATTGAAGTTTGTTTCTAATGCACGTAACAGACTAGTTGGTGTCACATCACTTATCGTCTCTTTAATCCACTGAGCTATGAATCTATTACCTATAGATGATAGAAAATGAAACCAAAGTATTTCTTATCGACTTTTTCGTTACTTTTCAGCATTTTCCCTTATCCTTTAGTCTTCTGTAAATCAGAATATACAACACTATTGAGCAGATATCGGATGCAACTGAAGTGCATCGAATGCGCTTCACTAATCCCACAAGAAAGGTGTTGTACGATAATAAAAACTTTCAATGTTAGCAACATAAAGATGGGAAGAATTCACCTCTCCCTAATCTCTAGGTATGCACCAGTTCCAGTTTTTAACTGTAAGAACTGGAACTGTTGAGAACTGGAGCTGTTGACTGTTCAAAAGAAATTTTCTACCTAATTAAATCGAAAGGCACATCACTAGATGCAGCTGTTCACGCTGATTTTTATTTAGTAAGATAAACGATATCATATCCTAACTCATCATGTAAAATCCTATCAAATTCTACAATAAGATTATATAGGATCTTATATGATCTCATAAGTTCCCACTGTAGGATCTCATAGGATCCTATAACAGGAATTCTACGTCATTTTCTGACTTAAGATGGCAGACGTATTTCCTATGAGATCGGTACGGTAATAAAAGCTTTCAACGTTAACAGTATAAAAATGAGAAGAATTCATCCCTCTCTAATCACTCACTGGAACAGTAATGTTCTTATTCAGTAATTACTTTTCTCTCTGGCCTCAACAGCAAAAATAGCAGATATAAACTGCAAAAAAGGCTAGAAATGATGCCAACATTGCGTTTTCGTGAGTGATTAGTAGAGTCCTGCGGGAATGACTTTTTCCCGTATTGTCCCGTCCCCTTTCCCGCGGGAATCGGGAACGGGAACGATTGAAAAAAAATGACGTTCCCAAAACTGTTCTAATTCATTTTTATCTGTATCAAAGTTTATTTATATAACAGGTTTTCATTTTCAATAACTATTTTGATACATAATTAACACAAATGATGATACATAATTAACACAATGATGATACTTTTCCCATACACCGAAAGAACAAAATTCGGGAACGAGAACACGGGAACGGGAACAGAAAACTTTTTTACGGGAACGGGAACGGGAAACGGGAATGGAGAAAATTTGTTCCCGCAGGACTCTAGTGATTAGTAGGTTTGCCCCAGTCCCAGTTAACCGGAACTGTGAGAACTGGAGCTGTTGACTGTTCAAAAGAAATTTTCTACCTAATTAAATCGGAAGGCACATCACTAGATGCAGTTTTTCACGCTGACCACAAAAAATAATTTTAAAATTTATAAAAATTAATACTTCAACGTGAAAATTTAAAATTTTGTAATTTCAGTCTCCTCACCTAGAGAGAAACTAATGATCAACAACAATTATATTTTTTTGTGTTTCCTCGGAGTTTTCTGTGTAAAGAATACGTATTGAGTTTAGTAAAGTGAACAACAAGTCGTATGCTGATATCGCTGAACAACGATCAATTACGGCTCTTAAAGACATAGGTTAGTTTTAGGTGAATTCTTCCAGTGAAATTTCTATGTTCTAAACGTATTCGATTTAGTGACCATTTTCCAGGATAGAAGAGCAGCTCTTGAATATGTTGGTGATAAAAGTTTCCTGCAACCGATAGAAAATTGAAAACAAATTCTAGAAAGTTGTTTTAAACGCAGAACTGGCACAAATGTTCTCGAGTTTTCTCTTTGAAATTTTACTCTAAACTCAACAATATATGCTGCATTCGATTCCTCTCGTTCTTTTCTACCTAATGATGTGCGAATCAGCTCTTGAAAATATCTGATTCTTTTGTGACAAGTACATCTCTACTAGTAGGAAGCAACAACTATTCAACTTCTAATTTACCTATAAAAAGCTTCTTCCCGTGATAAATTATTATCTGAACGATGATATTGGACAAGACGTTTTACATACTTTTTATTAATAACTGCGCCTATTTTGGCCGCATTCCCCCGCTTCATTTCGCTTGAATAATACATAATCCGATGAGCTTGACGCGAAATAAGCAATTCGAAGTGGGATCGCCAACACGTTCTTACTTATTTTTACTGTTTTCCTACATAGTGAGAATCCGAAGATCTTAATCTGAAAAACGTTATGGCAAGACCGTGGCACAACCTGGACACCTGATACATTTTATGTCCTGAAAAATGCGAAAAAGGGCTGAAACTCAGATTTTGTTTGACGACATTCTTGATGAAAAAATTAGACACCAAAGCAGTTTTATCATCTACCATAAAATCTACACTTATATATAGTATGTAAAACAACATTTAATGTATATGTAGCACAGTCGGTGAAGGCATCGATGAAGAAACTCTTTCGATCGCAGGTTCGAATCCTGGAAGAAACTTTTTGAAGTATTATTTGTTCAGATTTTAGAAGAACCTAACCGAAATAAACATAGTATAACGCATAATCGGCCATGATCACCATTTTGCGTCGCATCACGCACTTGGAAAACGCTTCAGATATTGATATGCACTATCACCTTTTCTAACACAAAGAATCCACGACAGTTCCGAATGTAATTGTTTAAAGAATTTGCTTGACTTGGTTTTACCGACAGAACAGTTTTATTTAAAAAGGCAATAAAGAACACACGCATATACAGAAGCCGCAAGAATTTTCTGTACACCCCTAATTTGTTCTTCTTTTTGATCATAGCTTGGTAACGAAAAAGGCTTTTGACAAGCGGTTTGCACCAAAATATTCTGTGCTAGTATATTTGTAGATAAAAAGATTAGAAATATTCATTGTTGCTCTTCATAGGCCCATTAGATCGAAAAATGAACTTTCAGGTCGGCACAAAATTTTCCGTACAGTTGATAAAAATCCTTGTTTATGCTGTATAAGTAATGACAAAATATGAAAACTACATCGAACAATAGAAGAGAGTGTGAGCTACATTTTAGTAAAGAAGCAATTCTGAAAAGTTTTTTTCTTTAGGATAAAAACGCGACTTTAAGCCAAAATTACCATACTCTCAATCATTCCTAAGATTGCAACATTCGCAGAAAATGCACACGGAAGAGTCCTTCATCGAATAGTCGTGTCATGCAATTCTATTGATGTCTATATGGGCCAAACAAGTAACTCAACATGCTCTACAAAACAGGAGGGTCAAAATCTCTTAGTTATACTTTATTCATTTATGAAAGATTGTCATATTACTTTATGAGGACTGGATCGAGTTCTTTTGAGTAATATACCATGCCATGAAGTATTGAATTCTAAGCGAATAGTAGACGAAAACAGCATAAACTTCACGCAGTTTTGTCCGCTGATTGGAAAAATGTAAATTCTTTTGAATGAGAACACAAACTGAGGTCAAAAGATCCAAAAAGCAATTTAGACTAATAATCCCAATTACACACATTTTTCTATTATATAATGTGTAACTTTTTCGGTCAATCAAACCTGACCAAATTTTATTGGTACGGTTTAGTAGAAGTTTTTCTGAAAGATCCTTTTGCCACGACTCTTACTGAATGAGCACCAGATTGCTCTCTACATGTGCCAATGATCGTGGATATCCTCATCTACAAAGTTTTCACCTCACTTCTGTCCAATGAGACGAGTTATCAGAACACTGAACCAGCTATTTTCTAGATTATTGCAAGCAATATACATATAATTCAGCCTGAGTTATATATAATTTATTTTCGAATAATTACACGATGATCTTCTTCGTACGGTTCCTAATCGGTAGCACACATTTTTATTACATAATTATTATTACTACGAATATGAAAATTAATCAGTTTCCGTTCAGCGACAGGCAAAATCAAAACATTGAAATGAGGACCAAGTGGCCATATACATTACATCTGAAACACGCCGGTGATCATCATAATGCAGCTACAAGACTGTCCGGTTTTGTACATCAACTACTGCAGAAATTAGCCTTATCTCTACTACTTTTGTGGGAATCTTGCTTTGGGAATCTTGCTTTGATGTTCATACTAATAATCGAACCGAATATCGTATTACCTGTAGAGAGACAAGCCAATTCCCATTCAACCAAAAATCGGTTCGAAACTTTTCATCTTTGCAGAGAAAATGGCCGTTTCTTGCAGGATGACATAGCACATTAATATCTAAAATGACTTCTTTTAACTCTCGTGTTCGTCTTGATATTATTTGTTCCCATTGCCAACCATCGGTTATATTTTCATTAGTCGAAAAACATGTGAGCCGTAATACTATTAAAGACGGCATGAGGCAGAGCAGAAGATCGACGTAGTCCATTGAAAATACAGTACAAGTGCTATGAAACTTTGTTATGCTTGTCGTCGGCAGTGATGGCGAATTAATTTTAACCAGCATAATCAGTTTATCATTTAGAAACGAAAAAATGTCAGCAGATTTTAAATTTGGCATATATGAGAATAGACGAAATAAACTGGCAGTTTCCGAACTATTGAAAAAACATGATTTCAGATACAAATATTCGATCGATTGACAAACGGTCGATACCTTCGTAAATGTTATTAATTCTATTGGTTTAATAGTATTATTTATTTGACATGTTTTCAACGTTTCTGGAAGCCTATTACATATAATCATACCATATATATCTTCAATATCACCCCACTCCGAACAATTCAACGAGATGGTCAGTGCTTTCAATGTATTCGACTCATAAATGTCCAACATCATGAACTTTAAATCATTGTGTTGCGTGTTGCTGATTGTAAGTGCCTGAAGTACACAGAAACGTTCCAATGATAGTGAATGACCAGCACCAATAACATTCAGTGAAACGACACGATTGACTATAGTAGCTAAGTGATTGGAGAATTTTGATGATACGAATGCTAGATGATCAAGGTGTAGAGACGGAATGTGATGTATTATTGAATTGATTCGAAAATTTAACCCGTAGAAGGAAATATACATATCCACCACTTCAAGGTAATCGAATATATTCCAAAACAGCTCATTACACAATTGTTCAAGCAATGTTACTACCATTCCGCTCACTAAAAGATAAAAAATGTTGATAAAAGGACATAAATAGTAATGACAAGATTGTTATTAGCGGTGTCTTTGCTTACCGGACTACAGGAAAAGACTCACTTATTTGAACAACAATACTCACAATGATTGTCCGAGCAATATGTTAGTGAAAAAATTAAAAGAACTGAACGTTTCATATTTTTCAATGATTCTTTTCACTCTTCATTTCCTCTTATTTTTCTTTTCGTTCTCATGAACTTTTCGTTTTCTCTCTCATTACATTTCATCACACCGACAGTTTTCTTCCAATATTGTTATAATGTCGCCTTGACTATGATCCTGAAAAGGAAAACAGTTAATTTCAGACGATGGTTCATCTATTTTCACAATAGAAAGAAGGGCAAAAACTGATAAAAGCTCTAAAAATTATTCTTGTCCAACTGTATCCTTGGATATAAATATACGGCCGGTCAAACTTGCTTAATAGAGTGATATATGAAACAGGCATTTGTATGAAAAAAAGTTAAAATGTTCGCACTATATATATATTGTTGAATGAACTGTCCTTCCCATATCGGGAAGGTTGTTTGATCCCGGAGCTGAAAGCAGTTTTTCTTGTAAAACATGATAATATAAGCAGTGAACATCTTTCTCATACGACTCGACACTTTTGTGGCAGAGCGCCAATATTTTCGGTTCTGTCCATGTCTGTCCTGCATAGATTCGAACTTTGTACATACTGTGTTGTATATAATACGCTGATTGTAAGTGCTTGAAGTACACAGAAACGTTCCAATGATGGTGAATGACCAGCACCAATAACATTCAGTGAAACGACACGATTGACTATAGTAGCTAAGTGATTGGAGAATTTTGATGATACGAATGCTAGATGATCAAGGTGTAGAGACGAAATGTGATGTATTATTGAATTGATTCGAAAGTTTAACCTGTAGAAGAAAACAAAAAATGTTCCATCCAATACTTTTCTGTACTATTGTATCTAGGTTCAACACTGAAAAATGTTTCGGTCACGGTGAATAAATCCTAATTACGTTAATGTAATTAAACTTCTATTAATGAGAACAGAACCAAAATTATATATTTTTAGTCGTGTTCATGTGGTACAGCGGCGTCGGGAGCAGATTAATAATCTTTACTTATATACAGAGTTCGAATCTATGCAGGATAGACATGAACAGAACCGAAACTATTGGCGCTCTGCTACAAAAGTGTCGAGTGATATGAGAAAGATTTGTTCACTGCTTATATTATCATGTTTTACAAGAACAACTGCTTTCGGCTTCGGGATCAAATAACCTTCTCGATATGGGACCGGGAAAGGACTAAAATTTTTCGGACAAGAGTAGCTTTTACAGAAACATAAAACATTTTTTTCCTCTTTCTTCTGTTCGTTCTCATGAACTTTTCGTTTTTTTAAAGACGGCATAATGAAGAGCAGAAGATCGACGTAGTCCATTG